ACTCTTTTCTTTTCTACCACACATGCTACATTTGTGACAGCTCATCCTTGATGTAACTGCCCGAACAGTATTTGGTGAAGTTTACAAATTACAGACTTTCTTGTTATACATGATATGCAAAAATCATGTATCTGTGTGGAAGATGACCATTTTTAATACTTACAGTGAAAACCTTAAGTGCTTCTAAAGATATTTGTAAGGGCAGATATGAACAGGACTGAATGAAATGCAAAATCATAAGGAAAAACCACTAATATGCATTTTAAATTCCATTATGTCCAGACTTTTGCACCATTGTGTATAATTTTTTCCATCTTCTGTCATCTGTTAAAATGTTCTCAGCACTTTCTTCTTGGAGACCATCAAACAAGGTATGAATATTTTTTGCATGTTCTTTCATAAGATAGGTACTATCCTTGTAGTTTTGAATGCAAAATATCCAACTGCATTCTCCCATTTTACAATTCAAAATACCATAATCCTACAGTATATCATTCAGTGATATCTGACCACCAAAGCTTACGTACAGTAACATAGAATAACCTAGCAATTTAATACAAAACCATTTAAAAATTACTCCAGAATTAAAATTTTATATCTCATTGAATTTGAGTCATATAATCATAGGGTTTATTATAAAATGTACAGCAGCTTGCTAAGTTTTAGTCAATGTAATTAAAAGTGAAGGCACTGCAATAATTGTTTTATAACAAGACTCATTTCTTGGTGTTCAGGTTCACCATTCTCTGAATGTTACTTTTCCTAATTGATGGACTGGAAGAAGTGGATTAATAACTCATGCCACTGGATTACCATATGAGAAACATATCTATGCAAAGAAATTTAATGATTTAAGACATCTATAAGACATCTCACTGGGGCTGCAATTACCATCATTTGGGATATATCACAGGACATAGAACTTAATTTAACACCATTTGGATGTCTATTCGGAGAATGATATTTTCAATGAATTTCCTAAAATTAATTACTGTGTTCTAGGAGTTACCAACTTTACATAATAGGTAACTACACTACTGTCACTGCAACTGCACACATTGAATATTTCACACCTTGTCATTATAGGTCTTGAATTCATTATCACCGCCTTTGCTTCACATGTGTGTTTGGCCCATTGGCCTGCTGCGATCTGCCAGTATTGGAGGGTCTCCCCAAAGACCTTTGTCCGTTTGGTTGGTAGTGTGGAAATGGAATGGGATTCTTGAGTGGGGTTTTCAAAGAGCATGGTTTTTCCAGTTGGCTCTGTAATTTTCTATGAATTCCACAATTCATTTTGTATTTAGTTCATTATGTTAACATTTATTTTATAGCTCAAAGGATTATAGCCTCAAATTTAATTAAATATTAAATCCTAAAACTAGGGAGTTATTGTGTATAAACATGTAATCTTACATTATGTTTATTCAGCCAGCAGTGGCAGCAGGATGGAGGGCAGGGCAGTGTTAGAAGTTATGAATACAGAAACTGATCTACTCATTACCCTGATGAATAAGACAGCAAAGACCACTAAAACTTTGGTAAATTTCTTCCAGACTACATGGCACTACTACCCAGAAGACAGCCATCTTTCACCTACATTAAATGTTTGCAGTTTGCCACATTTAGTATTTGTATTTTGTCATAGGCAAGGGGCTATGGGGGAGCTAATATAATTTTCTTCTCATAATCATGGCACTAATTTTGATGAATAGAAAAGAATATGAAAAGAAGCAATTTTTGACACTGACTCTGAAGAAACAATCTCATTTGACACTTAAAAGTGAGCTTGATGAAGATAGTGTAGGAGTAGGTGGTAACAATAAAGCAACTGAAAGCCATGCGTAGGTCAGGTTGGTGGTATTTGTGATTTTGCCACTACGTCAAAGATCTATTGACATTCAAATACAACATCGTCGGAAGTTTCACTGAGCCTAAATGACGTTCTAGTTACCATTTTCTGGGCTGTTTCCTGGCCCTTCTGTCAATCTTAGGACATTTTTAAAATTTATGTTGTTGGTACAGAACATCAAATTTTAATCATCTGACTGCTTATTTGGAAAAGTTAGTTTCAAACGAAGGTGAAGAAACATAAAACGATAATGCTTTATTGTTTTGTATTTTATTTAATTAGCCATTTATCCCATGTTTCAATTTCACAAATGCAACTTTTACATTACAATTTTCAAATAACCAAAAATATTCATACAAATAAACATACTAAAAGATTATTAACAAGGAAACAAACATAAACATGACATTGATTGCTGTGTTTCTTTGTTCCTTCATAAAATTGTACTGCTCACATCTTTAAACAGCAATTCAGGTGGTGGGGATTTGCTCAACAATACTGGTCTATTTCAGCTGCAGACATGTCAAGAGTGCTGGTTTCTTTTTTGTACATGATTTGGTCAAATGAGTCTAGCTCATTTAGTAGATCAGACATGTCCATGGCAACCAGGTTGGGCAGTTTCAGTTCTGTGGCTGCTGGGATTTGGGTCATAAGATCTGAAAAAATATTTCTCTTTAGAAACTTTATTATAAGCCCTTAAGTACTTGTAAGTAGACATATAAAATGACAATACCAGGTCCTAATGTGTTGTAGAATCATTTAAATCATCTGTTAGTGGTTACCAATGAAACCTAATTACCTACACAGCACACATTCTGAATTTTGGATATTTGTATGCATACCTATTTTTCTTATGAGCCGGGATAGCTCAGTCAGTATAGTGACTAGCTATGGGCTGGACGACCGGGGTTCGATCCCCGACGGGGGAAGAGGATTTTTCCTCTAGCCTCTGCGTCCAGACCGGCTCTGGGGCCCACCCACAATGGGTACCGGGGTCCTTTCCCGGGGGTAAAGCCGGCCGGGGCGTGATACCGACCACTCACCCCCATCTAGTGCCGAGGTCAAGAAAGAGAGGAGCTATACCTCCACTCACCCCAAGCGCCTGTAAGGCACGTAGCGGGAAAAACTTTACTTTACTTTACCTATTTTGCTTGGAGACCTTGTTTCTTTGACAGGAGTGAGGCATTGTAACTCACAATTCTTTCAGATTCCCCTGAGAACCTCTGTAGCAGACTCTGGGCACAAAGTTTCATAAACTTTCACCAGGCTCTGCATGAACCTAACACTTGTGATACCTTAAGCATATGTAGATTGACTATTCTTTTTTACCATTTAATACTAAAACACTTTGTGTACTGCTAATCAAAGCTGGATAGATAGTTAAGCTAAGAGGAGGAGGGCACCTGGGAGTTGTTCGATATCCAGTACTAGTAACACTATGAATGGGGTGAGGCTGCATCTCTTGACACTAAGACCTGAAACAAGCCTGTGGTGTTAGGTACTGATATGAGATAATTCACAGGGAAAATTGAAATAGCTCAAGGTGAAACATACCCCAGTACTGCCCCATCTACTCCAAATCTGGTATCAACAACCATTGAATTGAACTCAAGTCTGTGCGGTGAGAAGATGGAGAACTAAAGCATGACCCTAGCTTATAATTAACCACCACATTGACTGAATTAACACTAAAGTCCCCTTGGGAATAGATTTAGGAAGGAAAATAGAAGAGAGAGCTGTTGGACCTTATACAATCCAGTTCAATCTGTGTCACCCAAAAAGCTACAGCTGTAAAATGTCCTTTTATGTTCGTCCCATTTCCTTCATTGTCCGGTAAGGTTTTTTCAACATAATTATGTCACATTTCTTGTTTCTAACATCCAAGCTACATGATCAGACTATCACAAACTTGTTTATTTTTCTATACTGACAACAGTAGTTGAACTGCATAATTGCAAAGTTCTCTTTTAATGCTGGCTTGAATGTATTTATTGTGATTCAGAATTTTTATAGTTGAATGCGTGAACTTCAATTATAAAACTGCTACACAAACAATTGTGTTATTTGTTTATTTAAATCAGTAATAAGCTAATTTTTTAAAGGAAAATAACTTGGAGTTGTCCAATCTAAAGATTAAAATGTAGAAAAATAAGAGTTTCTGTGTATGTGTATGAAACTTGGTCTCTTATACTGTGGGAGGAACAGAGACTGAGGGTGTTTGCTGATAAAGCTCTGAGAAGAGTATTTGGACTTAAGGATACATCAACAGAAGGATGGAGCAAATTACATAATGGGGAGCATCAGTTTGCCAAGAATTATTCAAGTAATGAAGTGAAGTGTAATGGGCAGGACATGTAGCACATGAAGGAGGACATGGGAAATGTATACAAAACATCAGTCAGAAAACTTAAAGGGAAATGACCAGATGGAAGGTTAATATTAAAATGGGTCCTAAAGAAGGATTATGTGAGGGTATGGATGGGTTATTCTGTCTAGACATTGTCCATGCATGGGATCTTGTAAGCACAATAATGTACCCATGGATTACATTACAGGCCAGAATTTTCTGAAAAAATGAGCAACCATAACCTTCTGAAAGAAGAATGTGCAATGTGGAGTTAGTTAGATAGTCAATCATAGCATAACATTAGAAAAAAATCCGTGATGTTAAATAGATAAAAATATTAGAAAAAAGAAACTTAAAACACCAATTTGATGATCACATGTATGATCATATGTATGAACTTTACCATTCCAGAAACTAAGAATCAGGAAAGGGATCATTAAAGGAGGACCAAGATGGACAGTCTGTAGCCAC